TCTATCTATCTATCTATCTATCTATCTATCTATCTATCTATCTATCTATCTATCTCCCATTCTCACACGCTATTTTTTCCGTCTCACGGTCGGGCATACACATGCATGTATAGATCTAACAGTTTATCGTTTAGACAGGTTTGCTTTTATAAATAAGATATTATGTTTCAGCTGCTTTTATAAAATGTGAATAGTTAAGACACTCCTTATTTTATATGGGGGTTCGTTCCATACAAAGGGACCAAAGAAAGAAGAACAGAAACACTCGCCGTTTGTTTTGTAATTTTGTTTTAGGGATCTTAGAAGTAGATTGTCACTGGCTGATCTAAAGGCTCTGGGTGGGTGATAGAATTCCTGGAATTCTTTTAGATAAATGGGTGCAGTATCATTTATACATACATTTAAAACAGAAAACGGCAGGTTGTATTTGATCCTTTCTTTCACTGGCAATCAAAGTAGTACTTTCAGAATTAGTGTAACATGCGTCTGATTTCTTTTGTTTCATTATCAGTGATGCTGCTTGATTTTGGAGTAATTGTAACTTTGATAGTTTTTGGGCCATCAGCTGAAAATCGATACTTTTGCTGAGCTGGCTAATTTGGGAGGACATGGATATAACATTTTCCAACTGAACTCCTAGATTTTTAAGAATTCTTTTTTTTAACGAATGATATGATTAATGACGTCAATTTGTAGTTCTGGGAGATTTCTAATAGCGTTGGTATTTCTACTCAATATTATTTCCGTCTTGTCATAATTCAGTTTAAATTTATTACTGGTCCTCCGCATTTTGAATTCCCGAATACATCGCTCAGTGTAGTCGACTAAAAGTGATATTTGATCGAAATCAATAGACTTATATATATGAGTGTCATCAGCATACAGATGGTAATTCATGCCATATTGTCTTAAAATATCAGCAATAGGTTGTGTTCACCTTGTAAACAAGACAGGTCCAAGAACAGACCCATGAGGAACACAACACCTTAGCAAAACATTATTTGAACATGTGCTTCGAACCACAACTGCTTGTGTTTGATCTTGAAAATATGACTCAAACCATGGCAGGACAGTACCCTTTGCTGTTTATGAGTTGGCGTTTTGTTTCCATTGTGATCTGGGGCTGTGGTGGAAAAGGTGGTGCGAGCTCTGAACTCTTTAAGCCCTGTCGAGGTTTTTCTATCGTCTCCTGGAGTTTTTCTCTACAGTCACCTAAACCCGATGCACTGTGTCTCGTTATAACACCAGAAGCTTGCCTCCAACTTCTAAATAGCGGAAACAAAGGCTTAGTCATAACTTTTTAAAAATTGGTTCGGGAATTTTTTTGAAAAACAAGCAAAAACTAGAAATAGAACGAAACAGTCGTCACTAGTACAGGACGCTCCCACCGTCCGATGGGGAACAGGGTTATTCCCGCGAGACGTCCGATGGGGTTCAAAGAGTTAAAAGGAAGAGGCAGACCCATGAACAGATGGAGGGACAGAAGGAGCCAGGGAAACAAGAGACAAAATAATATGTGGCACGACATGGTGGAATAAGGCACTCGTCAATTTTTGGGCGAATGGGGTCATTGGCATCATCATAGAGACTGTTTATTTGCCCGGCTTTTGATGAAAAAAAATTTCCATCTATGTTGCATAAAAGTCGAGATATTTGCAACTGAAGGAGGGGAGGGTTGCCTGGTTTCAGAGGTAAAATTAATGAGAAAATGACTGCCAAAGTTTGGTAACTTCCATAGCTTGAGAGTCCTTTGGAACTGAACACTTACATTTGTTTTTTGGGCCTTCAATCAATGGGG